TTAAAACAAAAAGATGAAGTGCGGGGGGTTCCCCCCAAAATCTATACCAGGCCCCTTAGGTCTGGTAGGAATTTTAAGGGGGAACCCCAGCCCCAGGAAATGGGGGGGGGGAAATGTGGGGTCCCCCCTAACATTCCTACCAGACCCTTGATCCAAGCACAGGCCTGGCAGGGCAGGAAAGGGGGGGGGGGCAATCGAGCGCCCCCTCTTCCCTGCGCCTTACCAGGCCACATGCCCTCGGCATTGGGAGGGTGTCCCCATGCCGATGGGGAAAATAGAGCCTCTTCCCCATAACCCTGACCCTGTGGTTGTGGGGGTCTGCGGGCAAGGAGGCTTATTTGAATTGGGGTACCCCTTTAATTAAGGGGCGCCCAGATGCCGCCCCCCCCCTTGTGAATGAGTAAGGGGTACTTGTACACCTACTCATTCACTAAAGGGTTCAAATTCATATTTGCCGATACCAATTACTGATACTTTTTCTTAAAGGGACATATGACATTTTTTCTAAAACAATACAGACTAATGATTTTAGGGCAGTTTCTCACCAAGCTGCATCCAGATTTCACCAGGGCTGAATAGAGATCTCACCAGAGCTAAATACAGATCAGACAGAATCTGGATGCAGCCTAGTGACATCTGGATGCAGCCTGGTGACATCTGGACTTCAGATCCCACCAGGTTGCGTCTAGATGTCACCAAGCTGTGTTCAGATATCACCAGGCTGCGTTCAGATCTCACCAAGCTGCGTCCAGATCTCACCAAGATGCGTCCAGATCTCACCAAGCTGCGTCCAGATCTCACCAAGCTTTTCTAAAACAATACAGACTAATGATTTTAGGGCAGTTTCTCACCAAGCTGCATCCAGATTTCACCAGGGCTGAATAGAGATCTCACCAGAGCTAAATACAGATCAGACAGAATCTGGATGCAGCCTAGTGACATCTGGATGCAGCCTGGTGACATCTGGACTTCAGATCCCACCAGGTTGCGTCTAGATGTCACCAAGCTGTGTTCAGATATCACCAGGCTGCGTTCAGAT